CCTCGCGCGTCCATCCCGTCTCCGAGACACCCCAGCGGCTGAGTGAAGCGGAGAGCCAGCATTGCCGCCGCCTTTAGGGTTCGAGTTTCGACTGTAGCAGACTTTTTTCGAAACTAGTTATGTAGCTGAGTCGAATTCCGTCGCTGTTTCAAGAAGAATTCTAGAGACCGGCTGGTCCGATCGGAGGTTTTCCGTGGATTCCGTGAACAATACCAGACCGACTGCGATCTTTTCTCCCACTTCCTTCCCCTCTATCCTCTCCCCTTACATCACTTACTTACAGGCACTACACTACAAACATGTCGGCGTCCTAGAGCTTGTCTCGGCTGGGGTGAAGTCTACTGGGAGAGAAACCTGCTGGGGGAAATCCTCTTAATGGGGACGTGCGGGTCGTAGCTGGATCTCAACCCAGTGAAGAAGGAATACCGCCACCACCCGGTATGAAAACATTCACAATTCTAACGGGACTAAACTTACAGTTGATGTTCTCGGAAGCATGAATCAATAGATCCGAAATTATCAGTCTTACTGCCACTGCCCCAACTACAGGCCCGACCCACATAGCCTTCGCTTGCCTCTCAACACGAGCGTTAGTGGCGGAGGGACACGTTCTCCCGTCTCCACGAATTCTAGTAGTTTTGCTCTAATTACATTTTATACATTGGCCGAGAACGGTGTAATAACTAAATTAAACCTACTTATCAGTATCCTTCGGGGTAGACGTACGGTGTCACTACTAATTTGAGAGTAACGTTTGCTCTGTAGCGTCATAAGCTTGGCTCCCTCTGCTGAGAGAATAACTTGCAAGATAGAGGCATGAGGGTAACTAAAAATAAACACCCGAACGAAAAGTGCTATACCAGACCAGAGGACTTCTAGGAGGGGACATGGCTGGCTCCAAGGTGCCGTGTGCAACAGACAGCGGCAGTTAGACCACGACAGAGTGGTGCGTGGGAGCAGCGGAGATGACGTACAAAGTCACGTGATTCGACCCTTTATAAAGCCGCATCGCGCTGCCTCGCGTTGAATAACGATTTTGGTTTCCTCGCAGCTAGTGTGCAAAAACTTTGTCCGCCTAGGCTGGCGCGGAGTGCTGTATGTACGAAGTGGTGTTTCGATGTGTTCGGGCACAGCTGAGTGGTTCTCTACCACTGCAGGGCAGGTCGTATGCGGCTTCAAATCTGCCGAGGCACGTTAAATGCCGAGTTGCGAGTCGGTCTAGCTGGCTAGTCGCGGGCGCAGCCGCAAGGCGCATGTAGAGTGGGAGCTGAAATGTATGTGAGGACTTGTAAGCATTGAAATTAGTTTTGTAAAATCAATTGCATATAGTCCACTCGTGTCTGTTTCCTTGTGGTATTCATCCCACGACTTCACAGCTCCCTTGCAAGACACGAAACTTAAAGAGACAGCATGACAGAAACGAGTGAATGTCATCATTTGCGACACAAAATACATTCTGGTACATACATACATACTAAAACTAAACAAGCCAGTAGCCACATTTATTGCTGCTAGAGATCACTGCAGAGCAATGTTCGGTTCAGTCATTACCTCTATCATACAAATTTGATATTATGTGTTAGAAGTTAAGGTAAGTCGGTATTGCTTAAAACAATGCAAATGTAACATTTTTTTCGAATTGTTTCTTTTGTCAACGTGTTTTATTGGATTCATGCATAACTACAAAATAATGACATCACTTGCACATTGTTAACTTCAGAAAATGAACAAAATATGGCTAGAAATGCTGACGATGTGCGGACATTGAAATCACTTCCTCTAATCAATGATGATCTCTAACTAGTGATCAAGAATGATTCTTGTATAAAGTATGATAAAAACACAGAAATATATTTGATATTTAATTGAATATTTGGTAGGGTATAAGGGTACTTTATGTGGAAGTATTGAAGTTCACTACATAAAAAGTAGATGGAAGAAGCTGAAAATTAAAGTGTCACAAAACCACAATTTTGAAACTAATCATATAATAAGATCGAGCCCTTAAAATGGCCAAAACGATCCAACGCAATGTTCCTAACCACGATGAACACCGCTATTCCTTGCAGAAACTAAATATTTCACTCATCGTTCAAGTTACTCGCCCCGATCTTGAATTTACTTCCTATTGACATATCTCTTCCCTTCATTCCCTCTAATTCATGGTCTAATGTACTCCCCCTTTTCCCCTTACTGTTCTAATTAGAGCTTCTTTCACGTCGACCATACGATTACCTCGTCCCGTATTATCCTCAATTATTCCGCTTTCCCCAAGTTCTTTACCAGGGGGATTCATTCTTCCTTCAAGACTTGAACTCTCGAAAATCGCTCTATCGTTCTTTACTCACGACTTTAAATCTGAAATCCGCGACACCTGACCAGTCTTCTTTATTTCCCATCCACATAATTCTTCTCATCAACTGCCCTTTCCACAATTTCCCCTATCTAGAATATTCCCAGAATCACTTCATATCCTCCTTTTGTTCTCAATCCGTCCAGTTTCCCCTCCAAGACCATCTTTCCATGCAAGTTGCTCTCCACTCATGCTACATCAGACGCCGACCAGCACTTCCTCCTCCGGCCTCATCCCCGCCGTCCCCCTTGGCCCGCAAGGCTGCGCTCGCTGCGCACGAGGCGTCGGGGCTGAGACGCTGCGCGAGAAGGCGCGGGGGCGGACAGCGGGGGGGGGGGCGTCGCACGTGCAACAACACGCGTCAGCCGCCTCGCGTGTGAATGCGGCGCTGCGCACGGCCTCTCGAGGAGGGCTGCACAAAGCTCCGCGGCGGGGCTCGATTCAGCAGCCTTCAAGTCAGAAACCGAACGGGAGGCAATGGGGTAGGTTTTCTGCCGAAAATTCACGATTTTACAGAGCGTGATAACAAAACTTTCTCTTCTTTCGAAGTACCTTCATGAGGGCGAGAAAGTGAAAAGAATGTACAAACCCACATCCCATATAATTCGAATTTTTGTATATTTGCATTTTTCGCCATTAAATTGATAAAGAATAATGGCAAAATAACCAATATGTTGAGCATATACAAGCCACAATTTGGTAAGTGAAGATCTGCGGTAACATGAAATTAATAACCGCGGGACAGCTCCTGTCGCATAGCAACCAAACAATCGCGAAGTGTGAATAGAGGCGACCGAGACGTGTCTTTCCAAGGCCTCGTGCTAGCCGCATGTGACGGTGACGTCTCGCTGCAAGACAGAAGTGCCTGCCAAAGCCTAGCATCCCCAGGCTCCTTTCTCCGCACGTGAATGGGACGGGTTGCGCACGAGATGGACAGGGCTGACCACTAGGCC